TAAATATACTTTTTTCTATTTATGTTATTATCTAATTATGTTTTTTTAAACTTATTTGTTTTAGGATTGATTGAATAATTTGAATCATTTTTTTAAGTTTAAAATTCAATTATACAAACTTATGTAGAAAATGAAGATAGAATTAAAACTATTTGGTGCAAGTATTATTATATAAATTATTCTTTAATAGATATTCTCCAGAAACATAAGGTAAAGCTATGCATTACAAATTTCTTTGTAGATTTCTATTAGATCTTGGATCTCCTTTGGGAAGAGGAAAAGAAGAAAATCTTTGGGATGCTGCTAAATAAGCATCTGCATTTAAATTGAAATGGTATAATTAATTTTTATTTTTTTAAGTGATCATCATGGATATATTCAATATAATTAATTAATTTATGAATTATTTAGGACATGCTTTTATAATGATATTTTTAAAACTGGGAGTAAAAATGCTATAAAATAGATTAAATAATATAATAAAGAAATGCAAATGAAATTAATGAATTATCGAAGAAATCTATTCATAAAACGAGCAAATATTTGTTTAGTTGATCTTAGAACTAATTTTAATATTCTACATGATTATTTGAATGTTCTTATTGCTTTTAAAGCATGGGAATCTCATTCTAAATGTCTTATTAAGAAAGTTAACAGAAGAAGTAAAGAATATACTGAAAATACTGAATCAGATGAATAAAATGCAGATGAGTATTATTATGATTATAATTTAAAAGGGTTTAATTGAGTGGACATTCTTTTTTAAATGAAATAAGTATATTTAGGGGATCTGGTTAGATAAATGATACAGATACATTACAACCAGTAATCACAGATGAAAACCAATAAAAACATCTTTTAACATATCAAAGTTAGGAGATACTCTTAAATTCAGAACTACCATAATATGATCAGTAATTATAGAATCATTCGAGGGATAATTTGTTTATCTATCATCCATAAAAGTGAAATAAGTTTTGATAAATATTTATTTTTTTGTAATTAGTTATTATGTAATCATTTACTAAAACTTTATAGATTGTATTTCAATTATAAGTAATAGTATTATTTTAACAATTCAGGTTTACAATGAATGTTATTAAATTAGATAATCAAAATGATTAGTTTGCTGAATTAATCACTATATGATGACCAATATCATTCAAATCACAAACTCAAATCAAAAAATTAGGTTCATAGACAATACAAATTTCCTGATATTGAGAATGCTAGCAGATTCAACATTTTAAGAGGTTCTTCAAATTCCAGCAGAAAATACAATACTATTTAAGAGACTAAGTAGTCTTTGGATTGTAGTTCAACATTTAAGGGATTTCAAATTAGAATCCTTAAACCATAGGAAAGGTAAGAAACTCAAAAAGAAGAAAAATAAATAACAATCACTAAAAGTGCATAACTTAAAAGAAGAAATGAAAAGAAAGATGATCATCTTGATTTAAATTAAGATGATTTACTATTACCTAGAATTTATTCACCTATTGAAACTCCTAGGAAACTTATTCAAATAAAAATGAAGGAATCAATCTATAAGCCCTTTTTTAGTAAGTCTGAAAATATTGATCATATAATTACTATTAACTCAAGATATCAAATATATGATCAATTAAATAAAGGAGTAACTTTAAAATGTTTATATTCCTCTTAAAGATTAGACACTATTGATAAAATACTTATTATCAACTTTGATAGTATTATAATGAAATAAATTTATAGATTTAATTTTGGGAAAAAGGAAGTCTTTTTGGGAATAATCAAATGAAATCAAATTATGTTCTAAGTTATTTGGCTAATAATGTGATAATTCCTTTTGTTCATGTGTTCTACAAAAAGATCTCAAATCATTATTGCAATTGTATATATAACATGAATAACATAAAGATTGTCAAAACATTTTTATATTATATTCCTATTTGAATGCGGATTAAGAGGATCTACTTGGTAATCATACTTAATAGATTGTGGATATGCTGTAGATGGTATATATTGTATTCAAAAATCTAAATTATTTGGAGGAGGAGGAATTAAAATGAAGTAAATTATTTCTAATTTTGGGAAATCATAAATTAGAGAATTGATTTACTTTGGATCAATTGATACAGATATAAATACAGACAATTTGCCAATTGAATAATTCTTTTATTAAATTCCAATTGTTTAATAATAGGTTTCTGTTTAAGTCTATTTAATTCATTTATAAAAGTAGAAATCTATTGATTCTAAATTGCTATATGAAATTAGCATGCTTCATTGCAATTAGAAGGATTCTTTTAATTATAAAAAATAATTGAATATAATGAATTTAGAATTACATTCAATTATTTCATAAATGATTTAAATGGAAATAGAGGATGAAATTTAAAATTCTATATTTAAAAATCTGTATATCATTTTCATTAATTTATAGTAATTTAGATTAATCTTAAAGAAACATTGTAGATGAAGAAGAAGATAAAAATAATAATATCTTATTGTGGTTGTATTAAACTAAGAAATTATTATTGGATTACTTTAAAAGTATTAATAGTGAAGAACAAAATTAAAATCCTATTACTTTAATTGGAGATTTTTTAAGAAGAAACACTTCTATTGAAATGAATTTCCTTACATAAGATTATGTAAAATAAGCTAAGCGATACAATTTGTATAATGAATTAAAAGCTTCGACTATAGCATAAACAACTTTTCGAAAATAATGTAAAATGGAATGCTTTGTTATTTAAGATTGATTTTTATGTTTGCTCTATTTATATTAGATCTAAAATAATAATTACTTAAATATCGATAGAATAATTAAATAAGGTATAGAATAAATGATCAAAATTTTTTCTAAGAAGTTTTAATAATAGAACGAAGTTCTTATTTTTATTAATTCTACTAATTTTATTTAGCCAGTTGTTTCAACATTTATTATATCATTAATCCTTTTATATTTTTTGAAATTGATTCTTATTTTTCACTATGAAGTCTTCTAAAATGTTGTGTTTAAGGTGAACTATGGCTGTTATTACTATGAAAGTTTAATAATGGAGATTCTTTATCATGTCTTTCTGTCAAACATCCTATATCTGGTATAGATAATTTATTGTATAATGCTTTTCCATCTGACTTATTCTTTTTATGTTATTTTTTTTCACTAAAATCATTATATTATTATTGAGAATTGCAATTAATTTTTAATTTATCAAATTAATTAAGAATATGATTAGAACTCTATTTAATATGATTAATTGGTTTTGACTTTTTGGAATTCAAGACTTTTTTGAATAAAGTCTTAGCTAATTAACCAAATTATTATGATTATTAAGTTGAATTAATTGATTTACCTTTTTTTTACTCTGGTTTAGAATTTTGGAGATTGGATTTTTTATAATTAATAGATGGACTATTTCTATTAGAATAAGAAGTAAATAATGTATTAGTTCCTGATAATGGTCTATGAGTAATAGCACCTTATTTTAATTTATTATGTTAATGATCATTATATGTATCTTCAATTAATAATTTAGCTAAAGAATTCAATTTAAGATTATTATTTTATTGAATAATTTATGGTTATTATGTTTTTAGATGAGTAGAACTAATAGAAACCTTATGTAAAGAAGGTGTAGGTGTATTATTTTGATTAACATCACGTATAATCTTATTAATTTTTAATTAATTTTTAGCTACTGTAATTTTAGATTTATTTTTAATTTATTCTTATGGTTTAGTATCTAATTTTGTTAGACTTTCAATTATATCAGTTGATGCTTATCTGTTTGATTTTTTTGATAAATTATTACATTGATCTTTGACGAAGGTTATTTTCTTTTCAGTTGAACCTATACTGTATTTGGTATCACTCTTTTTATGTAAACTATAACTAGGTTATCCTTTCTATTGCATTTTAGCTTTTTGTTTTAAAATTAAATCCTAAATCCTTTATTCTTAAGATTATTTATTGGGATTGGGTGATGTTTTTTATTTTTTATTAAATTTGGTTCCAATATAAAGTAAGAAATTATCTAAACTAATCTTATCTTTCTTAGGTATAGGAGCAATAGAGAATGAAGACAGGTTTGCAGAATATTCGAGATGCTTAAGTATCTAATTAAGTGTATGTGATGCATCTTTATTTAAGGTCTTTTAATTCTAAGTAGTATTTATAGTTAATAATTTTTTACTTTTAACCAACTTATTTCTTTAAGAACTTAAGTATGCACAACTTCATTTTCACCTTCTTCTTGTTCTTGAGGTAGAGATTCTTATGAATTTGCTGGAGATGGTCTATCACCTACTATACCTTTAGGTGGTTTTTAAGGATTTAGTTTATTCTCTTCTTCTATGATTTTAGCTATCCGAAAATAATCATACTTTCGTTTCTTATCATAATATTTATTTAAAACAGTGCACACTGGCTCTTAAAATATTCTAGCAATATCTGCATGAAACTATTTCAATTCGAATACCATACTTTGTAATACTCTGTAAGTAATGCAATTTTTTATGGATATTCCTCTATCTTATAAAACCGCTTGAAGTATTCATCCTATTGTTATGCATCAATTAAGATACTTCTTCATCCATAGTCAGCCAATCTTTGAAATGAATTACATGTTTTGTAGATGCATCACTTAATATTTCATTAATTTCTCTAATGTAATAATAATTTTAAGAATGCTAATATTTCTTATACAGATTAAGATTCATAACAGCAATTGGCTATCTAACTATTAATGGTAAAGTTTTGGATTGCTCTACGAATTTAAATTTCTAACTCATATTGTTAATTAATTTTAATTATATAAATTTTATACGTAAATGTATTTTTACAAATACTTTTATTGAAACAATGTAAATAAAAAAGCAAAATTAATCAAATGGAAAATACAATTATTAATATATATTATCTTTACATCATTATATTAAAATTATAAACTATATATATTATTATATAAATTAAATTTTTACTAAAATAAATAAAGTATTATAAGTATCATTCATTTTGTGAAATCGCTCTTTATTTGATTTATTAAAATATTAAATTATTCATCTATTTCTGTTTTCTTACCTTTATCTTATTTTTAATAATAAGGTATTAAAGACTTTTAAATAGATTATAATGATAAAATTATAGATGAAAGTTCTTTAGGTAATTTTTTAGAAGATGAATTAAATTATGATTTTTTATTGCTAGATACTCCATTATTTGATATTTTCATATTTTCTTTAGCTACTTTTTTAGTACCTGAAAAAGCATCACTCTCTAAATATTTAATTGATATATATTTCTACTTGATAAAGCACCAACATATAAAGAACTTGTTTTCTTGTGAGTTTAGTATTATTGATTAGTTGAAGGTAACTTAGATGTTGATTAATTGATCTCAAATAATTATCTTGGTTTTATTATTATTTCTTCTGGTTTCAATGGACTTACTTCTCTTGTTTCTGGTATTTCCTCTAATATTTAAATATATAAATATTTACCAATCACAAAACTCTCATTTTTCTATGTAGTAAAATGATAATGAAATGATTATGATATATGAGTTGGAGTGCATTGTGTTATCGATTTATGTCTTTGCCATAGATCTATAAGTTGCTCCACATTCTCATTTGCTTACTTAAGTTTTACTAAAAAAGGCTAATTTTTATGAATCGTATACCCCTATCCACAGAAAGTGCCTTTGAACTTTATCTAGATTGATTTAAATTGACAATTAAAGGTTATGTTTTTCCCTTATAATCTGTTCTTAAATAGTGAGTATTGAAAATTTGAGGACTTTGAATTTATTGATTGTTCATAACAGCTACAAAATTAAAATTAATTATATCAACATAAAAAACATCCTTAAACTTAGAATATTTAATTTAAATAAAACAAATGAATATACAACTATTAGTTAAAGTTCATTATTATTTCTTTTTATATTTTCAAGTTCCTTAATGTGATTTTATTAATTAACTTGGAGTCTTGTGTCGAATAGTTAAACTTTTAATTTCTTCCACATTTTTGATATTAAATTAAAAATTAGTTCTTACCTTTAACAAAAAAATTATTAGCTTATTAAGGAATTGTTTTCTTTTTGGTTAATAAATTATTATTAAATGCAATTTTAGTTGAAAATACTTTTTTTAGTTAATTCTAATAATAATTCATTTTATTAAAGATTATTTCTAGCAGTATTTTAACAAGACTTTGTTAATTTAATATTACCTAATGATACTTATCTAGATTTTAATTAAGGAGGTCGTTTTGTAGTTTGATTTTCTATTTTAATTTTTGTATTTGATGATTATCTAGATAATTAAGGAGATCTTAAATTACGTTCTGTTTTAGGAGGGGATTTAATAATTTTAATTTTATTTTCTTTTAGTTAAATTAGATTAGTTTCAATTTATTTACATTATAGTTTTTAGGCTTCAATGACAGGATTGATATTTTTTTGAATGATTTTATTATAATTGAGTATTTGAAATGGTTAAGATTTTTGAAAATTGTTTTAAATCATTTTAACAAGATCTTTTAAATAGTGAAATTTGTAGAAATGTTAGTTTGAGTTGATTCAATTTTTAAATCTTTTAATAAGTTTTTCATTTAACTTATAGATTGATCCTCAGAGGTATCTTTGATTTTTTATGAAGAATCTTATTTGATATTTTAATAGAGACCCAATTCTTGTTTAATTTTACAATATTATAGTTCCCTATTTCTTTCCATTCTCTTCTTAATTATAATTGAATAGAAATTTCTAGGTATATTGATATGATATTTATAGTATTCAAGTAAGGCTGGCAATCGATCTTCACTTTCTAAAAAACGATAATATCTAGATCAGTTGGTTGAGGGTTTATACTTCTGCCTGCATGTGCTCATTTTAATCATTAAATTTCAAATGATCTTTATAATTGATGTTACATTTCACACATTGATCTTCAATTTTATCATTTATGTGTTTCTCATAAAAAAAGTTTTATGATTGAGAGTATTTGCAATACAAGGCTCTCTTAAGTATAAGGTGAAATAATCCATCATTTCGTAGTTTTTAATAAAACATACATTTCATTTAATTAACTAACATTTATTAATTATTATGAGTCAAACAACAGAAAAATAAGAGATGCATTATTAAATATCTTGAATATATAATTATATTTATGCAACCAAATTCAATTAGTTCTCCAAAATTCAAAGTGAGTCGTTTCAATCCTCATAGAGAACATTTGAAAACACAAATTACACACACTTCTTTGCTTACTTTAAAACCTAGAGCATCTTTGCCTAAAATCTAAAAAAACACTTCTCAAATTTCTTAGAGAAGTGAAATACCTCTATTAAAAATGCAATCAATGGGATCACCCTTAAGTTAGAGTTATCTATTGGAAATGGAGAAAGTGTATTGTGTATGGCATAGTGAAACTGGTATAGTGGGGGGAGAATAGAAAGTATTTAATCCTTAGCATGTTAGAAACATAATTAAGATGCTATATTAGTTTAAAACTTGAACAATTATTAGTTGTTTATCGTTTGTGATGGTCATGGATCTTCAGGTCATTTGGTGTCTAACTATGTTTTGAATACCTTAATACAATAGATTGAATAAGGAATGTAAAGAAATCAATACATGTTATAATACAACACTTAATTGCATAAGACAGTAATAAAAGGTGCATTTGCTAAAACATCCAGTCTATTAGAATAGAGTTCTCTACCAATAAGTAGAAGTGGATGTACATGTAATATAGTGATGTTACTGTAATAAAATATAGTACCAGCAGATTTAGGGGATTTTTAATAGGAATTTTAAAAGGAATCAGTAGTATACTGTGCTAATGTAGGAGATAGTAGAGCTATGATGGTAAGTAAGGGAGTTAGAGGAGGGTTAATAACAAATTAATTGAGCATGGATCATAGATTAGATGTAGTAGAGGAGAGGAATAGAATCAAATAAAAAGGAGGAACAATAGCATAATTATAACATAATGGACAACCAGTAGGTCCATATAGAGTATGGTTGGATGAAATGTAAGGTTCAGGTTTAGCTATGTCAAGAAGTTTTGGTGATACATAAATGTAATCAGTGGGAGTTACATCAGAACCTACAATTTATGAATCAAAAGTAAGAAAGTAAGATTTGTTTATGGTGATTGCATCAGATGGAGTTTGGGAATATATGACAAATTAATAAGTGGCAAAGTTGGTATATGAGAAATATGAATAATAAGATTAGGCAGCATAATATTTAGTATAATAGGCTTAGTAATAATGGAAGGAAAATGATGTAGTAGTAGATGATATTAGTTGTATTGTTGTATTTTTTAATTAATCATTATGATAATAATAAAGATAAAATTTACACTCTCATTATTCATAATAATTTTATTATGGATTCATGTAAAAGTCCAGTAACATAGATCTTTACTAATCAGTGTTCACACTAATGGAATTCTTTTGATTTAGGAACTCTTTGAATAAATCTTGGTCTATTTTATCGTATTCATCTTCGTTTATGTCTAATATTAGAATGCATTCATTGTTTACAGCAACTTTAAATTATTTCTTATCTTCTTTATTTGTAATTGATGAGAGCCTATTCTTTGCCTAATTCTACTAATTCAATTAATAATTATTTCATTAAAAGTCTCTTTTTATTAACAAGTGTTCTAGGGAAGAGTTTCAATTTGTAAATGCCTTCAGGTGATTCAAAATCTGATAAGAGATAATTTGGATCAGATAAGAATGATTCTGCATATTCTAAAAGGAAAGCTCCACAATCAACATAATTAACTTATCTAGGTACTAAAAGTTAATAGGCTGGTATTTATTTTATAGGAGAATCATTATAATTGATATCAGATTAAATTTTATCACATTAAATTTTATGTAAATACCTATATGTATATTTGTAAATTATAATACATTTTTATTATTGTAACTAATTTTTAATCTATTATTCCAAAACTATCTAAATATATAATAACAGAATCTTAAAAAGATTTACTTTATTTATGAGCTATCAAAAGTGACCAATGTTCTGGTAAATTTATAGGAAATAATAAATATTCTTTTTCAGTCAAATCTTCTTTAACCCATCTTTTTATATGTTCATATGATTATTTGAAAAGTTCATTTATTCTATGATTATCATTCTATTATATAGTCTATAATTTATCAAATTGACATAATTTTTCTACAAAATAAGTATTAAATATGTATGTTTTAGATCTTAAAGATTCATCAAGTAATTCAAACTCAATAAATTTTAAATAAAAGTTTATAATTCCATCATTCAAATAATTGGGTGGATTTAATTTTAAAACATCATGATATTTGATTTAAATTGTCTTTTTTTGAGTACCACTTGAAAATTAGAAATTATATTCATAATCCTCTTTCAATTAAGAGTCTAATTCTAGTATTCTTTCTAGGATTTCTTAATCTTAAAACTTTGCGAATCGCTCTTTCTATTGCAATTTGATTTGATCCCACATTTATTAATGCTTCATTTATGTCTATCTTTTAGTCCTATCATTTGACTCGAAATTTAAACTAATTAATGATAATTGTACTATTTTGGATCACTATATAATGGTGTTACTAATTATAATTAACAAATTAATTTATCAATATTCTCAAGTGCTCTTTTTGTATCTGCTTGTGATATGAATTTAGGTTCTATAGATTGTTTTTAATCTTCAATCTAATTAATTGGTTAACAGATATTACCTATTTAGTAACTTTTTACTTTTATTCCTCTTCTGGCAATTCAAAATCTACATCTTCTAATATTTTGAAAGCATTCTGAATGCTTTATTTATATTACTAGAAGTAATTGATAATATTTGGCTGCTTTTATTCAGACATTTTAATTTAATTATAATAATTTGTTTTTAATATATTTATCATTAACTTTTCTTTTTTTGTTATTGTTAAAGCGCCATTAAAAATTGATCAATTCTTGGATATTCTATTCTCTTCTACTCTAACTACTCAAGTTTTCTTGGATCTCTTGAAGTTAGAAATTCCCTCAGAATTGCCTTTTCTTATTCATTCATCATTGCAATCAATTCAGCTAATTCATTTGGTTATTATTATTATTATTATTATTATTATGGCTATTATGGCTATTATTATTAAATAGGAGGCTATTATATTGGATGTTATGGATGCATATGCATCATTGGTTATTATAAAATAGGTTATTGTGGAGGTATTTATTATGGAATTTAAGGAGGCTAAACTTATTGAATTGGAGGTGCCATTTAATTAGGTAATTAACTTCCCATTTAATTTGGAATTTAGGGCTAAGTAATTAAATAAAATTAAATACCATAAACATGGGGATTTAAGATATTTGATAAGGTTAATGAATAGGTTGTTGCAAAGCTTATTATTATTACAATTGCTATTATTATTATTACTAAATTCCACTTTATTGTTAAATCTATTGCATTGGATGCATATTGTAATCTTGTCTTCTTTATAGTCTTGGATCTTCTTATTGATGGAAAGTAACAGGAGGTGCTATTGAATCCAGCTATTTAAAATTTTATATATTAATTACTAAATTATAATTGCTACTTGCATTTTATGGTCTAATAGGAATTACAGGAGTACTATTAATTGGATTTTAATGAGGTTGTACATTAGGCTATTATAATGGGAACATCATTTCAGGCTTATAAAGAGGAGGGGGAGCATCTACTGTTGGTGTTCTTATAGGGATAGGAACAGCAGGTCTTATTGGTTCTAAAGCAGGTTGAACAGATGATATCTTAGCAAAACCTACTCTGTCTTTGGAAATTAGAGGTTGTCTAATCTATAAAGACATTATGTCATTTATGATTGTTTTAGGATAAGATGGTATTTCTAAGGGAACTAATTTAAATATTTGATCTTTATAAAGGACTTCTGGGAATATAAATGTGTTTGATTATGTTGAGGATTCTTTTTTCAATTCTTTAAAAGCCAATTTCCATGGGGTTACTTCACTTACTGTTAAAGATTAGTATTTTAACATTTTATCACCCTCTAGAACAGTCTATTTGAAAAATGAACTTAAGATTTATTATTATTTTCCTTTGGATTACAATTATTAAATTTTTTCTTGTATTAGTTAGAAGACAACAAGATGTGTACGTGGTTCACTAGGTAATGTTACATTTTGATCTTTAATTTCTTTATTGTTAGATTCAATTTATTTCAATAAGAATTAGAGTAATTTGACATGTTTAATGAATTAGGGAATATTAGATAGATAATTGGATAGATTAGTAATGAAATCTAGAATATTTTCTTATTTATTAAACATGAGTGTCTATATTGCTCTTTTTCTTACATCTCCTGGATGTATAACATTGTTAGGTATAGATACAAATAATCTGAATAGTAAACTAATAAACTATTCAATAATTGATGTGTAGACTGATTAAAATGGTAAATTATTGTAATTTAAGATGGATTATTGAACTAATTCTACAATAGTATATAATTAAAAAATAGGTTTAGCTTTATATGGAGATTATGTATAATCTGAATATAGAAGTATGTTTTGTCCAACAATATTTTTAGAAGTACATTCCAAGATTTCAATGATTAATTTAGATGATATTAAATTAAGATGATAGTATTCTTTTGAATCTTCTGAATATTCAATATGTTTAACTAAATTTTTAGCTAAACTCTTTAATAAATCTTATAAATATGTGATATGAGGAATGTCTTCAATTAAATATTAATAGGATTAAGATTCAGATTATAGAAATTGACTAACACCACATTCATGATCTACAGCTTTTTTAAAGATCTGTAAAATTTGATTACGTAATGTTGCAATTAATAATTTATATGATTTTTCAGTTGGTTGAGAATCACAATAATCATTTTCAGCATCTATTAATTTATATATTTTGATCATATCTTCATTCAAATGTTCATAATTAAATATGTACATAAAACCACAATTACATAGACATATATCTATAGCTTAAGTTAAGAATAATCCTAAAAGCACCCAATCTTATCTATATTTTAAATAGAGTTATTAATCTTCTTTTTTAGCTAAAGCCTTGATTTTATTTG